TATCTCCGTGGAGAGGAAGGAAGAAAAAAAAGTAGGGGAGGGAGGGGGGAGTACATTACAGCTTGGGTGTAGAAGTGACAACGTCCTCATTATCAATTCTTGGGAAGAACCTGGGTCTCATCTCATCCTCAAACTGAGTTCTGAAATATTCCTCATTCTCAACCATGATTTTTCAAATCTTTCATATGCTATTACTTGCATGCTGCAGTCAGTATTGAAAAATAGTATTATACTTGGAGGAGGCTCATCTATGGATGTGTTAATGTGTCATTTTTTGATTATTGCATGAGCTGAGCAAATGCTGAACTGTTTTGCAAAATCTATCCCCCTATCTGATTCCCATACATATTGATATTTTTTTTATTGCAGTCAACTCTTTAAAGTATGTTACTTGACAAAGTAACATACTTTTCTCTCAGTGTACCTGGTTTTGCAAAATAATGAAATAGAAACAGTGGTTCACATATTCCTGTCCAACTGCTGAATAGGGATAGTCATCTCATCTAGCTTCTGGCTATTTTAACCAAAAAAAAAAATGCCAGAGAAGCTAAAAATATTTTAATTTAGTTCAATATCCAGCTATTTTTCAGAAATTAACCAAATTCTATATAACTAATTTTATTCAATGCCAACTGCTATTTAAAGTGAATTAACACTTTTTCTTTCCTTTTTTCTTTTAAGATAACATTTTTCTTTATATGTCTGTTGAGTATATTGTTTTTGTGTGGTTATTTGTTTACTATAATAGAAAATCAATAGACATTTGGGGGGCATATGAAGGCATAGCTACATTCCTATTGCCAAAATCTCACTGCAAGTAATATATTCAGGTTTATGACAACATATGTAAATATGGTAAAGGGCAGGATAGTATGAGAGTCAGTACATTCCCCAACTTTACCTGAACTGGCACTTGATCACCTATTTTTATTCACAAAAATCCAATGTTGTGACAGTTTCCCAGTTTCTTTTTCAATAGCTAGGAAGTTTTTTTTTTTTAATTTGAATCAACTATGGTTGTATATTGCTCCATAAGGGTGAATTGGCTACTCTGTGGAGCAACTGACTTGGCCAGTTTGGTTATGCAAACATGAAGCAGATATGTGGTTGGCCTACTCCACATCTCATCAATTCAACAGGATCATCAGATGGGATCCAAGAGATATGTCTTCTCTTTTCCAGTATCTGCTCTATGAAACATTTCCCTCAAACCCCTGAGATTCAGCTGGCCTTGACCTACCAACCTTTAAGAAAGTTCTGAGGGCTAAATTCTTCCCCCAGGTATTGAGCAAAGATGTTTGATCAACCCACTATAAATATAGGTAATTTGTGGTTTGTTCCTGACACATTATATATTTTATCAATTTACATACTGTGATGTTTTGCTTCAGAATCTCTTACCTGCAAAGTCTCTTGATGATTTAGCAGCCATATGAACTAAATGAATTAATATTAAATGAATGACTAATTAATTAATTAATTAATTAATTAATTAATAATCTTAGCCCAACTTACATCATACATAGATCCTTTCAAATATTGAACTATATTTTGAGTGGGGCCTCAAGCATTTTCCCTCCTTCTTATCAAAGCTAAGTCTATCTGGCTCCTCTATCTTCTACCCTTTTCTAGAGGATTCTAGTTAGGTATACCTCTGTAAAAAAGGTAGCCAAAATATTTAGCAAAACAATTAGATTACAAAACCTTACTCAGATTTCCTTCCTTCTCCCTCTCCTCAGCTTGTTTTGTTTCTCTTCTCTTTGCTGTAACTAAATAAAGGTGGTGGATTGGGACATAATAAAGATCCAGTAATGAGGTCATGATGGAGCACAATCCGAGATGTAGAAGCAGCCAAGTCCACCCAGTCCCAGCATTTGCTCTTTTCATTTGTTTTCCCTCACTTTATTGAGAACACATTTGGAAGCTCCTTAACATGTGAATCCTGAAATGAGAAAATAGACCAGCATGGGTGACAACTGTGGAACAAATACACTTTTGATGGTTCACATCACAAATGCTGCTAGTTCTGAAGAGCTTCTCTCAAAAGAGATTTTGAAGATGAAAATATAGTCCTGACATAATCTTGGGCTTCATTTATGCTACCGTGTTCCAGTTCATATTTGAAAATCAGCTCTGAATAGGTGAACTGCTAATAAAGGAATAATAATAAAAAGATTGCCGATGGATGCTGCAGAACACATTTCATGGCAAAATGACAGAGAGCCAGTACCCAAAGCAGTGGGATAAGAGATGTATGGTCTGATAGCATCAGGCTTCTCTCCACAAACTGGAATGAACTCCTTAAGCATGCTCATAAGAAATTCAAGAAGGCATTCAGAGAAGGAACATTAGTCCAAGCAAATAGGAAACTATTACTAAAAGAACTGCAGCAACTGCTCTAATTTTAAGAATTAACCATGTGTGTGAAAGTTGTGTAATAATAAATAAATAAAGTTAAAATCCTTTTGCACTTATTTTTTCTTTCTGTTCCACCCTGTGGACTACTTGCCTCCTTTCCATCTATCTTTTAATAGTCAGATTTGCTATAACCTTGATTTTCCTTGATATAACCTTGAATGTGTTGTGTGAGTGCAACCAATTGCAGTTTATTCAATGAAATATGATTGAACAAACCATGCCTAAGATTAATGCATGAATCCAGAATAATTGCCAATTAATTTCTGCAGGGTTGGCTGAAAGAAACTAAGGTCTGGAGACGAATTAGCTTAATAGCTCTGGGAAGTAGAATTTCCTAGGAAGAGTGTGATCATTGCAACATTTACTAACGAAAACCAGCTGATAACCCAAGGATTGAGGTATCTGGAAAGAAATGAAAAAGTGGAAATTCTACTCATGTTCCCATCATTATTGCATATGAATTGACCAGGAATATTACGCAGTTGTTTAAAAACCAGAGAGTGGTAAAAAGAAGCCACTGAAATAAATCCAATGTGGGTCATATTCTCATATTACCCTGCTCAACAACTTTATTTACTCAATTAACCCAAAAACACTCACATGCTATACCATAATGACTGAGTTGGTACATCATATCAGGCTAAAATGAGGTTGGCCTGTTGTGGCTCAGTTTGTGACATAAAAATATTTGTTTTGGAAAACATCTAAAAGATCATGCAGTCGAAGGATTAAGGCAAAGGTTTTCTACATCAACACATTTTTGTAGTGGTTAGGTTCTATGAACTTACGTGTAGCAGAAAAGCAATTATTCTCTGACTGGTTTTCTTTAACAATTTGTCTTCCAGCTTTGTTAACAGACCTTGTTTAATTAAAAATGGGAGAGAATGAGCCCAGATCTCCACGTTAGCACTCTTGTCTTGAAGGACCACCGGGACAAACTCCCAATTAAGTTCAAACCCTGGCCAATATCTTGCTAAGAATAACAGCCAAATCTTGCTGTTCTTTATGAAGATGAAATTCTGCCATTAGCAACACTGCTATGAAATCCACATGATTTTATTGGTGCCATTCCAGGATAAAATTTGACTACAAGATTATTTAACTGGAGCCAGAACCTTATGCAGCATGGAGTCAATAAGGATTAGGACAATGTTTATGTAGACAAAATCCCTGCACAAAAAATGGGTAATTTGAAAGTCCAAGTATATCTTTGCAGGGTTATGTAGTGTTAACTTATGGAACTCTTTAAACAAAAAGTTGTTATACAGTAGTACAAGAATAAAGAATCTTTAGCAAACAATGAATTAAAATTCTTGAGGAGAGATGTACTAAGGACTACTATAACTACCCGAATTACCATATCTATATTTAGAGATGTCTTATATTATATGAGAAAAGGTTCAACAAATTCTTATCTTGAATGCTAATTTTTCTGTGGCAGGAGATTCACTGCTATTGGAAACAGAAGCAGAAGCAGCAGAACAAAATGATCCTACTAAACCAAGTGGCATAGCCATTTTATGTTATTAATGTGTATAAAGGTTAAAGGAGGTGGAGAAGTGAACTTGCAGTTCTTCAGTTATTGCTGAACTACAATGCCTAGCAATCTCAGCAATTATATATAGTATAATATAGGAATTAATATAGGAATTAATTAACATATGTAGGAAGATAAAGACAAATGCCAAATACAACAGAATTTTTTCTTGTTTTGTTTAGACAGCTTCCCACCCCCCACTCCCTGACTTTCATTTGCCTTTCCTTCAATGAACAAAGATTTGCTAAAACAAGAAAGGGAAGCTTCTTCCACATTAAATATTACATTATAAATAGAACTGCTGTCCTGTTCCATATCTCCAAACATTTTTTTAAAAAAGAAATCTCTTTGGGAAACATGACTAGATTACCCAAATTAAAGCTATTTTTGATTTGTCCTCTTACTATTATTTTTGTTCTTGAGCATTTAGTTTGGAGTGGACTACCAATGATAGCTCTAGGTCAGACTTCCTCAATCTGTGGTCTCCAAAAGTATTGACTACAAAACCCATCACTCTGAAGCTGGTTTAAAAGCTGGGAGCTTATTCTATGGTTTCACTATCTAGTGAATAGTTCCATTAGACTTTTTAGACACATAATAATGGTGATGATGATAATACACAATTGAATGGTTCAATAAAATGTTTTGAGTTAAATGTAGTAATATACTGGGCAATTGTTTTGCAACAAAATAACTGTTAAAATTATGTTTATAAAAGCTCTGGGGGACAATTTATTTTAAAAGAGGCGTTCCTATTTCCTTTTATTAAAAGGAATCTGTTTTTAAAAATAATATTAATAGTTGTTTGTTAAAAACAGGAAGTTGACTTTTTGCTTGAAAAATATCACTTCTCCTTGATACATAAAATATTTAACTGATAATCCTTTTAGGGAAAAATATGAAGTAGCAGGACATTAACTACATTTTATCATTTTATTGTAGTCATACTGTTCAGAGATTGTGGAAGTGGAATCCAGTGTGTACAGGTAGCCCTGGCTGAGGGAAAGCTGCTTTAAAATAATCCCATCTCTTTACCGCTGCACAGGAAGACAATCACAGCTACTATTTATCCCGCATTTATGGTCCCCAAGAGATGCGAGCCAAGGAACTTTGGGTCGAGGTGGCTGAAGCCAACAGGAGCCAAGTCAAAATCCATGGAATCCTGTCCAATACACACAGACAGGCTTCGGTGAGCCATCCTTTTTCCTAATCTTGCCAATCCACCAGCATTATGTTGACTTATTTTCTTAACTTTTGGCATCGGAACTCTGTAGGTACATTTTGTTTTGCAAGGCCCATTTTCTTTCTCTGCTGTACAGAACAGAGGGACAAACAAGAAAATGGACAGCGAGAGCAATAAAAAAAATAGTAAAGGAAAATCAGAGAAGAGCCTGACCAGAGAATAAATTTTATGTGTAATTACAATGTCTTGGTAATTGTTTCAACTTCCAGTGATAAAAAAGTCAGTATTAAGAGGTTAATAGCCACTCATCTTTAATCCAACCAGATAGGTAGTAATGTGTTTCTGGGAGCAAAAGTAACATAAGGATTTGATTTACACATGCCTTAAGCTATAAAGTGGTTTGATTTTGGTTTAGCCAACCATTGTGATTTGTAAGCCATAATTTATGTCTTTATGTGAATCCAGTCAATTATATTGTTGACTGATTGTTGACTATTGTTCAAGAATTAAATAAAGCATACTATACTGGGATCCAGTCAGTCTTACGGTATGATATTTGTTAAATACTCACAAATTTATTATGATCTACATTTCTTGGATGCAATAATATTTTTTTAGATTGTAATAAATTTGTTGAACTTCTCAGTGTCAGAAGACTCTGTTCTTTTAAATACTGGATCAGAATGAAGAAAAATAGTTATTGTTTTTCTAGTAACTATTATTCTTCAGCATTATTTCCAATGACCTGTAGATGTGGCCAGCAAATTAATACCAGAACATCATCTTATCTTAACTTTTGCAACAACATAAAGCAGTTGTTTTTATAAAATTAGGTAATTATTTAAAAAAGAAGTGCCTCAGAGCTCAAAAATCTTCATCATAGACTTCCTAAACTCCAGGAGGACTGCAAATAAAACAAAAATATTATATGTAGCTTGTTATAACTACAACATTAATATTGAGTAGTTGGTTTGAAATTAATTTTAAACTGATATTGTGATATTATCTTTTTTACCCAAATGCTTTAGAATTATTCCACTTTTGATATACTGTGCTACAACCCCCATTACTGTCATACTGGAAGAAAATTGAGACATATAAACATCAGATAGAGAGACAGATATATATATTTATATGTGTGTGTGTTGTTTTATGTCCACTTTCTGCAGACACCCCTGAGGTAAAGCCTCTTTTGAATCAGACTTATCATTACAGGCATGTTCATGTTCAGTCAATATAGAAACTATAGTATGTATGATTGAGTCATACCGTGGTTGTGTTGATGGTATCAGTTGGTTTTATCTCAGCTTCCCTCTTCATTACTCATTGGATTTTATGATATGTTTTCTTTTGTTTTGTTTTTTCCTCTGGAAGCCACCCAGAGTCATATGTTTGAGATGCTAAGCCATATAATGAATGAAATAAAGACCATTGCCCTCTTCCAAAATTTATTTATTTATTTAGGAGTGGTTTCCCTAATTAATTTTCTGTGGGTCCAGTTCTACTTATGAGGGATCCTTGGTGCTCTCTGAGCTTGCTTGTTTTCTTGCAAACGTTTCATTACCCTAACTAGGTAACATCATCAGTGCTACTAAGGAGTGCTGTATCTGGTATCTTGCCTGTCTGAGTGATTGGGGATGGTCTTAGGAATCTTTGGTTGGGCTGTTTACTAATGGCTCTTTGGCAGTTTCTTGATTGAGGTATTGTTTACTTGATTGTTGGTCTGAAGTTGACCTTGGAGTTAACCGCCCTCCACCCACCCAGACCGGCAAGACACCAGAATATAAACTAACAGCAAACAGCACTCCTTACTAGCACTGATGATGTTACCTAGTTAGGGTAATGAAACGTTTGCAAGGAAACAAGCAAGCTCAGAGAGCACCAAGGACCCCTCATTTCAATCCTGAGCTACAAATATTCTCCTTCATTAATCCTACTTATGTTTTTCAAGATTAACCAAAGCCAGCTAAGTGTTGCCACATGATCTTTTGTACACTGTCACTGGGTTTTAAATGATTCCTCTCTTTTTCCCCCCCTCTCTCAATGTCTCTCTGTGTGTGTGTGTGTTTTCATTCCTTATTAAAGGATAGAAGAAGCTCACCTCTCTCTCTCTCTTTCTCATCTCTCTTAGATGACTATTAGTTCATCCCATCATCTATTGCTGAAGCTGTTGGCCAGCAAAAGAGCATTTTGCACATAACATCATCAATTCTGGTATTAATGTTCAGCCCAAAGGTCAATAGGGTATCTATTTTCCAATCAGAAGTTTGCAATGCAGCCATTTTGAAGAGAGGAGGCTGTATATTGCTCTAATTTTTCCCATCAACATTTCAAAGATACACAATATTTTTTTTATAAGGGGAAAATGTAGCAACAACTATTCTAAACTAGAAAAAAGGCTGGCTCTACTGTATAACCTATGAGGTCCCTTCCAACTCTATGGTTTTATAAATATCTGTGCCAAGAAATATATGTTGCTGACTATTTCATCTTCAAGGAAATGCTAGGCCTCATGGCAGGAAAAAAAATGTAACAGAATCTTATAGCATTTCAGAAGGCTAAGGATTCTGTACACTGCCACCTTGATCTTATTTATGACTAATGAACATATAAAATTATGCCAAGATATTTATGTATAAGTAATCAAACTACCCTCTTTTCTTTGTACAAATTTGGCTTCCTCTCTGTCACCCAGTATAAAGACCTGTGAGTATAAGCCTAACTGACACTATCTGTTCATCTTAAAGTATTAGGAATATGGAAATAATTCACCCACGACAACTCTTGGTTCTAATGGTGTTTTCCTCATTATTCTTCTCCAGAGAGTCATCCTATCCTTTGATTTCCCTTTCTATGGCCATTACTTGCGACAGGTCACCATAGCAACAGGAGGTGAGCATCTTTGGTTACTACACTGATCATAAGAGTTGTTGTTTTTGCAAAAAGCTTACAAGACATGGAGAGTTAGCTGCAGCATGCATTTTGGAACATTTTGAAAACATGGTTTAGACTGTGGTTCTCAGATGATTACAGCTGCTTGACCTGACTGAGCCTGTCGGCTTTTAACTGTCACTTAGCGGAGGCGGGCGACTGGGAAGTGCCGGTTCATGCTTGCTCCAACCACTATATTGTTGCTGAGCAACAGGCCCAGGTGCTAGTTCCCTCTTTCCTAAAATAGGGAGAAAAAGGAGACGGGATATCAATGTGATTTTGTGAAGTGATCATTCTTTTATATTCATGTTTGCCTTAGCTTACCCTTCTTCCTCACCATCATAAATGTCATCTTCGTCTAACTCTAAGAGACCAAGGTAATATACATCATTCTCTGCCCTTTCCCACCCACCATTTCATCCTCAAGACAACTTTGTGATGTGATTTGTGCTTATAGGTCATAATTTTCCCCCAAATGCCAGAGCATTCAAACAGATGTCCAAATCTAGATTGCTCTGAACGAACTCTGTCATCTGTTAGGCTAATTTTGAAGCCTACATGAGTTGGTGACAATGTCAACTGGGCACAGGCAGATATAAAGTTTATCCTGAGCAAAAAAACCCAGTATGTTTACTTGAATCCCCATCATATTTATTTGGCTGAGAATCAGGGAGTACTTGGTATCAGATGATTGGGGTAGCAACAGCAACAATATCAGTCTGGTTCCCCAGATCGATGGTGCCTGCCTGTAGTAATTGATAGAGGTATGCAAAATTTGGATCCAAATCAGGTAAAAGTGCTTCTAATCTGGCATGGGCACCTTACAGTGGTTCTTAAAGAAGTAAAAACCAAAACGATCAGAGACTGGTCCTGCACAGTAGCAATACAGTCTTGGAAATTACGTGTTTGGATAAAGGAGGAATTTAGGAGGCAACCATGGATATAGCAAGGGATCCAAAGTTGATTTGTCTCACCTGTTGAGAACATAGGTGCAAATCTTTGGCTAATCTGTTCATCTGAGCTGCCATTTGGTTCTAATACTGGAATAATATGGTTAATAGCCACTGTGTTCCTTCTGGGTACTTAAGCAATGGTTCTGTTCCTGAAATGATAAGAGTAGTAGATAAAAAGCTGTCAGGCTCTCCCAATCAGAACCTGGAAATAAATCACAGATTTCAGGACACTTCTCAGTTTAGTTCAGCTCATCTGATAAATCTGACGGAAGTCCCACAGATATGGCTCCACTAGTTAAGAATTCTTGTTGCAGACAAGAATGGAGGTACAGTATAAAAGTTCACTGACCAAGTAACATCACGCCAGAATCCTGCCCTTCAATGACACCCAGAAGGGGGTAGGGTAAAAAAAACTGCCTACAAGTTCTACATACTTAAATACAGAGATAGGCTTCCATGGGTGGAACAAAGGGGATGGGGAAAATGGCAACAGTGTCATGATGTACATATGAGATTTGAATCTGACATTGAGACACAGATGCAAAAGTTAGTACTGTGATACTGAAATGCACATTTTGTCATATTTGTACCCACTGCAATCTGTATTGGAAGCCTACTGATGAAGTGCTGAAAAGCAGAATTCTCAGTGTTTCACACCTTTCCTTGCACAGCCTAAGCATATTATTGGTGCTATAAAAACATGCCTTGAAGTAAAATTAACTTTTTATCAAATTCTGAATGGAGAATGAGAGAGGGACACTATTTTATACTTCACTTCAGACAGTAAAATAGTTTGGACTTATATGAAGAAGAGACTCAATACAGCATTTCCCATAGATGGGGGAGGGCCCCAGCTAAGTCACCTTTGCCTCTCACTTGCAATTACTTTAAAACCAACATAAGTTATTTAGAGAATTTATTCAAAACCTGCCTGCTTTCTTCTGGTCTGATACCATTTCTGATTTCCATCATTCAGCTAACTTGCTTCTGGGGACATCTGCAATCTATTTCTGAAATTTCTAATTTTTTCATTTTGTGTGAAATCACCACAATGATCAAATTAGCACAGTTGTGCTCACAGCCACTTTCCTCTTGTGAGAACTAATAATCCAACCCTATCTTTAGACAGAGTGATGTGATGATCAATTGATTTTTTGGTGAATTAAAAGGATCGTCATTTCTATAATTCTTACTATTTTCACTATGAGGCAGTTAAAACAGATGAAGTATTTTCACTCTCACATACCCAAAAATCTGGACCAGACTTTGGTAGATTGCAGAACCATAATCCAACCCACTGGAGAACAGAAAATTGCACCCATTCCCCACAACAATACGGAAGATGAAGATTGTGGGAGCTGCAGTCCAATACGTCTAAAAGGCATCAGCTTGGAGATTGCTAGTATAAATCACATTGTTTTCATGTTTCCACACCATCCTTGTGAGGTTAGGATGAGAAATGGAGACCAATGACCAATGATTAAAACCAGTGTCTCTCTTCTATTATGCATTGCAGTGTACTGGCTCTGGAATTTGTAGGAAAGAGAAATCTTTGGAACTATGGATTATACCCAACATTTATAAAAAGCACTAATGAGATTATTTGACTTTGAATATGATGTGCTCCTCCCAATTGTTCTTTTGGCAGGTTTCATTTTCATGGGTGATGTCATTCATCGAATGCTGACAGCTACACAGTATATTGCCCCTCTGATGGCAAACTTCAATCCTGGATATTCACGCAACTCCACTGTCAAATACTTTGACAATGGTGAGCTCTTATGATAATTTCCTCCTCTGTAACCTTCCCAGAACTAGATCACCACTTCTATCCCATATCCATGCAAGCTTGCCCACTGCTACTTATGCTGGACTGGACATTTATTTTGCAAAATGAAATTCAAACTCCGGAAAGTCTCAGCTTCCCCCCCACACACACACACCCCTTCCTCTTTCCCTCTTCCTCCTATATATGAAAGCTGGCAGAAATATCTCCTTTGGATGTTTTTATTTTATTTTTCATGCTTAGGATTTATTTATTGGGGAGTGAAAATGGAGCATGGTTGGAATCAGGTTAATTAGCTGTTTTGTTCTTGGCTGATGCTGACTAACTCTTAAAAGCCTTTTTATGATCATCTGTGCAGTTGTAGCAGGTACGTTTGATTTATACTTCAGGTTTTTTAGAAAGAGGCAAAAATATAGAATTAGGAATAGGTAATCAGGAGGTGCATGATGGGGGGGCCGATAAGTAAGGGTCAGTTATCTTTGCTAGTGCCTGGAATCTGAGTTTATGTGCCTGTGACACAGTTGAGTGCCTGGAATGATTGTTACCGGGGTTACCACATAGTCTGTACTGGTGTTTTCATAAAGTATTTTCAGTTCAGTTTTCTTCCCATCTATTTTATATTTTGTTGATTAAGAAGGCCTGCAGAAACAGATTGTTCAAATCTAAGAGGATTTTTTCAGTGGGAATTTTTCAGTGATTACTTGATGGCCTGTTGGTTTCTCATTATTAAAAACATTTTGTACATGCTTTCAACAAGTAGGAAAACTATTTCCTTTTTTAGTAAAAATCCTTCTGGTACTTTCTATTCCTGCTCAAGTAGAAGGACAAGGAATGGGTTTTGGAAAGGCTCTTCCACTACATAGATTGGTCAGATGTATTCTTTCCTGGATTTTAAGTTCAAGTTCTTAGTTCCCATTCTGTACTTCATTTCTTTTACTCTTCTACTTCCAAAGGAACCATGTTTGTTGTCCAGTGGGATCAAGTTTATCTAGAAGGGAAAGAGGACAAAGGCTGTTTCATCTTCCAGGCAGCTTTGTACAACAGTGGCAGAATTGTCTTTGGTTATAAGGAGGTGAGTGTACGCAGTCTAGTGTAGAAAAAATGAGTTTCTCAAATGTTCATCAAGGTCCTGGCCATCAAGAATAATGAAACTTCAAGGATTGGCAGAAATGGACTGGCTTTCTGGAATTTCCTTGATACTAGTAATTGAAATTTCTATGCCTTCTCTTTTCTGACTCCAGATTCCCATGCCAGTGCTTGAAATTAGTTCTACACAACATCCTGTCAAAGCTGGTCTTTCAGATGCTTTTATGATCCTTAACTCTTCCCCTGGTGAGTCTGGCAGAAAATGAGTGGAGGGGGAAAAGGAACCGGGTGACAGAAAGCAGAAGTATGGTACATATACTAATTTGTTTCTGACTAAACCGGCTCTTATCTTCTAAGATGCAAAATTCTTATTAAAAATATGAACATTTGGGGCTGTTCTCTGACCTACAAAGCAGAATGAGATAGCAGATAGAGAAATCACATACTTAACTATTGCCTTGATTAAAATGCCCTCCTAACAAAAAACAGTGCTGCTGTAGTTTCTACCTGATAGGATTACTTTCTTTTTCAATATGTTTGCTTTCATAGAAAAATACTGATAAAGCATCAGTTGGTTTTATATGATATGCTAATTAATCATGGACTATGTTCATACAAAACAAACAATAATTCCATGATTTGCAAACCAAAATGAATTGAGCACGTCAAGTGAACCAGGCCATCACATTACGCCATAGCATGATTTGTTTGTTCACCTTAGCATATAATGGGAACCTAGCCATCATAATTTGTTAATCATGGTTTAGAGTTTAATATTTTATATCTGATTTGCTTGCCTTTGGTTTAGGATGTTATGAAAGCCTAGCCACTATAATTTGTAAACCATGTTTATGGCTTATGTCATATTAATTTAATAGGCCTTAGAGTTGAAGCCCAACCTTCCCCATACTGATATTGTTGTGCTTTCAATTCGCTAGCAATTGACGCAGACGCATGGTGAAAGCAACAAACTCTTTATTACACACTCCTACAACTAAGCGAACAGCAAAAGGCACGCAGGCCTTTTATAGTGCCTGAAACCTGGACAGTGTGAACCAATAGGAATTTACCCTTTTCGCGCCTTGCGCATGCGCACAAGGCTGGCGCCACTCTGTCTGGTCCCGGGCAGCTTTTGGGATTGCCTGGGACCATTTGCAACACTTCTGAGCCTGCTGTCAGCTCTTGCAGGCTCAGGACACAACACCCCTCCCCCCTAGATGAAACATACCTGGCTTACGCACAGGTGTATTGTGCAATGTAGGGATGGTGACACAGATGCATTATTCAAATGCAAGGAGGGTGGAAATGCTCAGTTTGCACGCAGGCAGACCCCTTTCAAAATAATTATTACTGGAATAAACGTATCCAAAATCATAATAATATATGATACTCTTACTAAGTGTTAATCTCCTCATTCAGCGACCTCATAGCAAGATTCCTCCGTGTTGACAGAAACCTCACATAATCTCCCAGATGTTTAGGTGGGCACTTGCCCTGCTGTGACCTTCTAAGTGCCGGTGAGGTTGCCTGGCCAACCTGTTTGCCTACCAGGCTAGGCAGGCCAGGGCTTTGATGCCCTAAATACCCAGGTGACCCTGGTGGGGGTGCCTGGCCTACCTGCTCGCCTACCAGGGTAGGCAGGCCAGGACTTGGATGCCCTAAATACCCAGGTGCCCCCCCAGCTGCTGACTGGCTGGACCCTCTGAGTCCAATCCAGTATACCTTGGAGGGGTGGAAGTCCCCGAGTCCACAATGGACTCCTCTTGGGAACACTGTCCCTTGAGCCCAAGGCCAACAGTTGGAGAGGCCTGAGTGGCGGAAGTGCCCCAGAACTCCATAGCCCCCAAGCACATGCCAGAGGTGCCAGAGTCAGGAGCCGCCTCCATGGCAACCCCCTTGCTACTGACTTCCTTTTCGGAGCAATAGCTGAATTATGAGAGTGCCCCTGATGGAATTCCCTTTCTATGGCTGTGTTTGAATAATGTGGATACCCCCGGTGTGACTCCCTGTCTGGAACAATGACGGATGTATGGGATGACCCCCTATCCTGGGAATTCCTGTTTGGAGCACTTGCGGAATCTTGGGATGACCCCCTAACAGCCTCTTCAGCTTGTGAGGCCCTGTTATACCTCAGAACCTGTGACCCAGCATCCATATTCTGGTTCTCCTCCCCCCCCCAAAGCAGAGCCAGGAGCGGAAGCGTGGCTGTCCAGTCTCCAACGCAGTTGATCTATGTGTCTGCAAAGAACGCAGCCATCATCCAAGGCAACTTCGTATGACAACGGCCCAGAGACCTTGCAGACCACTGCTGTGACCCAGAGATGTCCAGGCCCATAGTTCCTTGCCCAAACCGGATCGCCCACCTGAAGTCTCCTAGGTGCCCGCGGTTGTGACACCTGTGAAGCCACCCTGTCTGGGTGTAACCTGTCCAGTTTGGTGATGAGGTGGTGACCCCAGCGGAGTTCTGCAGGGCTCTTCCCTGTGGCTGTGCAAGGTGTGGTGCGGTGTGCAAGAAGGAAATCTGCTAACCTGTGATGCCAGTTACCGTAAGTCAGTTTCTTAAGAGCATCTTTGGTAGTGTGCACCATTCTCTCTGCTTGACCGTTGGATGATGGGTGGAAAGGAGCAGACGTTGCATGCCAGATCAAGTTGGCCTGCAGGAGAGCCTGGAACTCAAAAGAGGTAAATTGGGGGCCGTTATCTGAGACCCGTGTGAGGCAAAAACTCCTCTCAACACCTGGATGGTCCTGGCAGTAATAGTGGAGGAAACAGGAACAACCTCTAGCCGCTTAGAATGGCTGTCAACGATGAGAAGGAAGAATTGCCCCTGAAAGGGCCCAGCATAATCTATATGCACCTGTGACCATGGGGTTTCCTCCCACCTATGTACTGGGGCCTGAGGCATTTCAGGCTGTGACTGTTGGCACAGTTGGCACCTGTGCACCTGAGCCTCGATAGCTTTATCGAGCCCAGGCCATCAAAGATGGCTGCGCGCAAGCACCTTCATCCTTACTATACCAGGATGTCCCTCATGCAGAGAGAGCAAGATTCTAGACCTCAATGAGGCTGGGATTACTACCCTACTACCCCATAACAGGCACCCCTTGAAAGTAGAAAGTTCATGCTTCCTTTGCCAGAAGCTTTGAAACTGAGTATCTGGGCACGTGTCAGGCCATCCTGACAACACCCAGGTCAGCACGCATGTGAGTGTGTGATCAGTGGCAGTTTCTGCAGCCACGTCCCTGGCATTCAGGGGAGATTCAGGTAACTCCTGAATGGAAAGAATATTAATGGCAGGAGCAGGATCTGCCTCTATCTGTTTAAAAGTAGTCTACTGAGGCCACCAGCATGGCTCATTTCTTTTCCAAGTTTATGAATTAGAGTGTAGTCATATGCTGACAGGAAAATAGACCATCTCAGCATAGTGGGGAAATAATATGTGGTGTCTGTTTGTTAGTGGTAAACAAACCCAGCAGAGGCTTATGGTCTGTGTAGACCATGAAGTGGCGGCCATATAAGAAATCATGGAATTTCCTAATGCCAGCCACTATGGCCAAGGCTTCTCTGTCAATCTGAGCGGAATTACGCTCTGCAGATGACAGAGTCCTTGAATAGTAGGCCACAGGGACTTGTGTCCCATCAGCCTTCAAATGGCTAAGTACTGCTCCCACCCCATAAGGAGATGCATCGCAATTGCTCATTGAAATGCGCTAACACAGCATTTGAAGAGAGCAAGGTCTTAACCTCATTGAAACTTCTTTCATGGACGTTAGTCCACTGCCATTGAGCCTGCTTGTCTAAGAGCCGGTGTAACAGCTCAGCCACTGTAGCCTTGTGGGGAAGGAAGGCATGATAAAAATTTAAGAGTCCCAAGAAAGCTTGCAGCTCGCTTTTGGACTTGGGACTTGGGGCCTGCTGAATAGCTTGGAGCTTAGATTCAGCAGGATGGATGCCTTGAGCCTCAATTCTGAAACCCAAAAATTCAGTGGAAGTGACTCCAATTTTGCATTTATCTGGCTTCAGTTTTAGGCCCGCTTGGCGAAAATGAAGCAAGACAGCCCTTAATCTTTCAGCTAGGTTTAGAGAGACTCCCCAGCAATGAGGACATCATCAAAGTAGGGACAAACCCCAGGAATACCATGAAGGGTGCGCTCCATGACACTTTGGAATATGCCAGGGGCTACATTTACCCCAAATTGCAGTCTTTTGACCTTAAAGGCCCCCCTGTGTGTTACAATCGTCTGGGCCTCTGCAGATGCCTCATCAACAGGTAGCTGTTGATAGGCCTGTGCCAGGTCAAGTTTCGCAAAAATGCACCCCTCCCTTGAGGGAGGCCAGAATGTGGCTTACAATAGGCACTGGGTATGCGTGCTGTTGCAACGCTTTATTCAGTGTGCACTTATAGTCTGCACATATACATACTTCCCCATTAGCCTTTAGAGGTGTTACTATGGGGGTTTCCCATGGACTAGAATCCACAGGTTCTAAAATGCCCTGCTGGAGCAATTTGTCCAGCTCAGCATCTATCTTGCTTTTGAGGGCAAAAGGCACCCTTCTAGGCTTGACCCTGATGGGCGTGATAGTTGGGTCTAAACGTAATGCAATGGGAGGCCCCTTGTAGGATCCTAGCTCTGAACTAAACACATCAGCAAACTCCTTACAGACTTCTGCAAGGCCCAACGTTTGCAAGTTGTGCAGCCCAGTCACTTGGATTCCAAGGGCCTCGAACCAATCGAGTCCAATAAGACTTGTGCGTTCACCCCTAACAACAACCACATCTAGGAAACCTTCAAAATCCTTATGCTGCACCTTGAGCGTAGCCTCCCCTTTTACACTGACTTTGGAATTTTGCAAATCAGTGAGTATTAGATTCGATGGCCTGAGTTTAACTCGACGGCCACTACTGCTACAAATCCTCTTGAATGTGTCCAGTGAAATGATTGATAGAGCAGACCCTGTGTCCAGCTCCATCAATAAGGGAACCCTTGTAACTTCACATCAATGTGAAGTTTTTTCTTAAGGGGCTTGTGTGTCCCTGTCCTCAGAATACTCCTACGTGATGCGCAGAAACCCACCCTGTGTTGGCTGGGACCCTGGTACCTTTCTGAAGCAATTCTTCCCGAGGTTGGACCTTCTGGCGACCCAAACAGATGGAGGCAATGTGGCCTTGCCTGCCACGCGCCCTGCAAATGGCGGAGCGAAACCGGCAGTCAGCTCGCTTGTGGCGTCCTCTACACCCGAAGCACTGAAGAGATGCAGGGCCCTTGTCCGGACACCCCTTCGGCCTCCTCTCAGCTGGCTGGTGAAGTCTGTCCACCTCCTCTTCAGGATCCTCTTCTGATTCTTCTCGAGCGTCCTCTTGATGGACGGTAGCTGTGGCTGGAGGATTTCTGGCGATCCGCAAAGCCTTCACAGCACCCTCTGCTGCTTCTTCAGCTGCCACCTCTCTTAACGTGTCTTGGAACGAGACCTCTTCTTTTGCAAAGATCTTTTGTTGGAGGTCTCTGCTTCTTAAGCCACACACGAAGCGATTGCGCAGCCTTTCTTCCAGATCCTTGAACTCACAAGGCCTGGCCGCTTGTTTTAAGGCAGCAATAAAGTCCGCAGCAGATTTACCCGGCCTCTGGTCTCTCTGCTCGAATGCATGCCTCCAAGCAATGACAGATAATTTTGGCTGAAAATGTTCCTTCAACATCTTCTTCAAGTCAGCGTATGTCACTGACTCCAGAAGTGCAGGGGCTACCAGATTTTCTGCGATGTCAAAAGCTTCCTGTCCACAGGCACACAGAAGAGTTGCTGTCTTCAGGCCATCTTCTCTTATTTGATTTACTCTAAAGTAGTTCTCCACCCATGCTATGTATGAATTCCATCTCTCTGGGTGGGAGACATCAAAATCAGTCAAGCGGCCAATCTTCGACATTGTAAACTTTACGACTTTCACTAATTGCCTCCCTGCAAGCTGATGTTTGGGAAAGGGTCCTTTCGCTGAGCTCACCTCCAGCGACGCTGTACTGGCAGGCTAAGTCGCGAATGCAGAACGCCATCTTCCCGATTGCCAGGACTTCCTTGGTGAGTCCTTTACTTTTTTTTTGTTGCTTGCAGGGATCCCACCTTCGTCGCCAGTGTTGTGTTTTCGGTTTGCTAGCAATTGACGCAGATGCGTGGTGAAAGCAACAAACTCTTTATTACACACTCCTACAACTAAGCGAACAGCCAAAGGCACGCAGGCCTTTTATAGTGCCTGAAACCTGGACAGTGTGAACCAATAGGAATTTATCCTTTTCGCGCCTTGCACATGTGCACAAGGCTAGCGCCACTCTGTCTGGTCCCGGGCAGCTTTTGGGATTGCCTGGGACCATTTGCAACACTTCTGAGCCTGCTGTCAGCTCTTGCAGGCTCAGGACACAACAGATATCATTCAAACATATGAGTTCCATGTATCTGGAGAATATTAGATTGAAGAAGGAAATCACTTCCTCCATCCAGGAAAGACTTCCTTCCTCTACTTGAAGTATCTCAGAGCCACTCACCCTTATTAGTTCATTTCATTATTGAACCACTGTTACTCACTATTGCAATTTCTACCATGTAAAACCCATTCAACCACTTACATCCTGCTTAAGGCAGTGCATATTAATTTCCAAGCTATGACATGATAAAGAAGAAAAATAAAATCTTTGATTACAACAAAAGGATCTCCTTCAGCTACAAGACCACTCAATTAACAAGTTTTGGTTAAAAGCTAATTTAAAGAACAGCTCATTTAAAAGGAATACAAATAGCGGCTACCAAACCTAAGAATAAACCAGAACTGCTGAAACTTTTAGGCTGCTGTTCATGAGCAACAATTGTTCCTGTATTCCTAATTTGTTAAGACATTGACATGTTAAATTCTGGGGATGGATGACAGAGAAAGTCGCTTGCTTCCTTGTTGGTTTCTAGTTGGTTTAGCTGCCTCAGTTGGCAGGGACAACTGGGCAGCACACAATGGACAAAGAGCAATTCTTGTTTATAATTATATCCAAATACAGAGCTACAGATAAAGCCAGAGAAACTTTCCAAACAAGATAATTCCACAATGAAATAATTCTGCTACTGTTACCATTAATGACCAACAAATATTGAGTCTGACTTCAGAAGCAAATCTGTGAGATAGCTTAGCTTTTAGGAAATGTAAAGCTGTCTAGATATTTTTTATTTCCACCAAATGCTGTACAGATAGTCCTTGACTTATGACCATGATTGAGCCCAAAATTTATGTTGCTGAGACAGTTGTTAAGTGAGCTTTGCCACATTTTATGACCTTTCTTGCCACAGTTGTTAAGTGAATCACTGTAGTTGTTAAGTTGATAACATGGTTGTGAAGTGAATCTGGCTTCCCCATTATCTTTGCTTGTCAGAAGGTTGCAAAAGGTGATCACATGACCCTGGGACACTGCAGTGGTCATAAATATGAGTCAGTTGCCAAGCATATGAATTTTGCTCACATGACCATGGGGATACTGCAGTGATCATAAGTATGAAAAATGGTCATTAGTCACACTACTTTTCAGTGCCATTGTAACTCAAACGGTCACTAAATGAACTGTTGATAAGTCGAGGACTACTAGTAGAGTGGGGTTAAAGGGTTATAGATACTGCATTCTAAAAAAAATTGTACCAAAATTCCTGTCCTATATTCAAGCACTGACTATTGTGTGAATGTGGCTCCTTTAGTCTTTAGAACTAGCAGGTAACTCATTACATCTTATAGAGTCCTTGGTGTTCTTTGAGCTCGGTCATTTGTCTGTTTGATATCAGCTACATATATTCTCTTCTATTAGTTTCATCTTAATTTTTAATTATGCAAAAGTTGGTGGAAATGTGTGGCATGGCCACATCCTGTAAGAGACAGTGTGGAGTCCTGACCTAATTTAATATTCCCCCCTAACTATTTTAGAATCTCAGCATCGGACCATATATGAATACCATAGAGTGGAACTGGATACCAGCAAGATCACTAGTGCATCAGCTGTGGAATTTTTGCCCTTACCCAGTAAGTTCTCACCTCAAATTGCATTGCCTTGCTTTCTCTAGTCTAGGCATTGTTCACTGCAAAGGCAGAAAGTAATCATCTACAAGCTTAGGGAGGGTGGGTGGATGGGAGGGAGGGAGGGAGGGAGGGAGAGAAGGAAGGAAGGAAGGAAGGAAGGAAGGAAGGAAGGAAGGAAGGAAGGAAGGAAGGAAGGAAGGAAGGAAGGAAAAATTTAAAAATATAAGAGGAACATTGTGGAGAAGATCTCACAATGTTTCCCTGTAGTTATTAACACATTAGGTAAAATAACAAACAGATTAAACAATTTTTTACAAGGACAAATATTTTAGCTATGACAGCTCTGGATTTTACACCCCCAAAAAAATCTTGCTGGGTACATGTTATGTCTTACAACATTCTTACATACCAGGCTAGAACTCAAATTTCCCTCAGACACTTTTCTAATATATGCTTATGTTTGGTTTTTTCGTAATCCTTGACAAATGTAAACATAATGATGTTATTCTGATGGAAGCTGAGTCCTATTTTAATAGAATCCTATGGACTTTTCAGGTAAATAAAATTTTCCATGAACAATAGCCCTAACTCTTCCCACTTGCTGATGGTATCATTGAATGATTTGCTATCTGAAAAGATGCCCCATGTCAGCTTTCAGCAAGGTTCAAAGAGAAAAATTTAAAACTGGAATGCAAACTGAACAGTTAACTGGTATCTTTTTGCCTCTGGTTAAAAAATGAAATGAGGGAGCAATTTCTCCCCGCCCTTTCTTTGCTGAATCAGGCAGCTTTTGATTGGTGGAGGGTTTTTTTTAAAGAGCTGTAGAGAAAGGTAATTTTTAGACTCTGGATCAAATGATAGGTCTTTGGCTAGCAGTATGTGCATTATTTCTTTTGCATTTCAATGTTGTGAGCCCTCTGCCCCAAGCCTGGGGGTTTTCTTCCTCTTTTGATTGGGTGCTCTTCTGGGCACTTGTCTCAGAGCCTGAGCTGAGAGCACTCAGAGCTGAGAAAGAGCCCCTTCAACATCTCATACACGTTCTCTTGTTTGGCGAAAACGGTAGAAGAGATTGGCAGACATTATAACAGACTAAAATAAAATCCAGGATCCAAGCATAAGTGAAAAGAAATGGATGGTCAACAAGCAATATGAAATCATCATTAAAGTATTTTCTCTATAAAAAAGGGGAGGATTATTAAAATTGCTGCCAAATGCAGACTCTTGACTGCAATTTTCTTTTAATGTTATTATTATAAAATAAAATGTAGCATTTTGAATCCTAAACAGATAACACCAAATATTTTTACTGAACTAATTAGGTACATATTTGGGGTTCAAAATATATTGTCAGGCTAGGTCAGTGGTGGCGAACCTATGGCACGGGTGCCAGAGGCGCCACTCAGAGCCCTCTCTGTGGGCACGCGTGCCGTTGCCCCAGTCCTAGGCCTTCAGCTGGTTTTATAAAATCTTTTCGCTTTAGGCCTCCGCCACCGTGTGCAAAAAAAAAAAAAAAAAGGTTCAATCAGTCAATTTCAACTTCTCATGGGAAAAAAAAAGATCTTGCAAAGTTGGAATTGATTGATTGATTTTTAGTCCCACCCAGTTTGCCGTTACCACTGCAGCCACGCCCACCCAATCGGCCACACCCACCCAATCGGCCACACCCACCCAATGGGCCACGCCCACCCGGTACTCGACGATGCATAAGTGGGTTTTGGGTTGCAGTTTGGGCACCCAGTCTCTAAAAGGTTCGCCATCACTGGGCTAGGTTAAGTTGCCATTATCAGCTAAACATTAGGCTTCTTCCAACCTAACCAATCCTGTGCAGGGCTGAGTCCAGCAACTATTCTGAGTGTCTTACCCCTGCTTTAATGATCTGTCCCATGTTAGCCAGTGGAGGGCACCCAAAGCTAGAAAAAACAGGCACTCTATCTCCATCTTTGCTTTCTGTTTCTCCATATTTTTTATAAGAAGGCAAGACAATTTTTAGAAGGCAAGCCATTGTCAAAGGTATAGCAACACCTTTCCAGCAGGGGAAAATAGGAGAAAGGAGAAGGAAATAACAAAAATAGAAAGCCGAATGTTTCCAAAGGAAACATTTATTTATTTATCAAAGTTATATAATAATCTAATTATCTTGAAGTCCTATAAACCAAGTGTTTGGCAATTTTAAGATGTGTGGACTTCAGTTCCCAGAATTCCACAGTGAATTCCACAGCATGCTGGTTGGGGAATTCTGGCAGTTAAAATCCATCTTAAAGTTGAAATACATCTTAAAGTTGCCAAAATTGAAAAGTACTGACATAAACTAAACCAATTAATTAAAATTAAGAAAAGTGACTTTTTAACATATATGGAAGCCCTAGATGCCTAGAACAATTTGAGGATGCACAAGAGTAGTTTAGATCTCAGATTAGAGCATTCCTTGATGCCTATATCAAGGTTTTTTGGGATGTGAAATCAGTTAGTGGCTATCAAATCTTTGGTGGAGATTACCCTGACTGCTAATAGTGCAATGATTCCTTCATCAGTATTAAAAGAGAACTAGCTGGACCCTGTAAAGGATTATTTAGCCTACTCAAGTTTTACCACATTTAGTAATGAAGCCATCACTGTCAGAAGGACTTCAGGTGTAGTTAGACCAGAACAGGAAAAATGACATCATATTTATTATGAATTCAACACAAGTGATTCCAAGTTCTTGCAAATTCTTTTATACTGTGTCAAGAATATAAAAAGTAGGACTTAATTTAAAACAAAAAGATTTACTTTTAAGATAGAAAACAATGCAGCCTTCCCAATTTCTCTGGAATTCTGGGGTTCATGCTGGGACAAGCACTAGCAGGAGGCAAGCCATTTTTGGAGAAAAAAAATATTACAGAATAACTTGTGTATTTCTAAACTCCTCACACATTCCTAAGGAATTTTCAGCAACAGCATATTATCAACTGACAGGGTCAGAATATAGTCCACTATGTGATTTTCTGCTTCAAAAGCAACTGATGCAACAAAGAAAAGAAAAATAACCTGACCTATTATTTTAAATGAATACTATGATGATGAGAGCATACTGAGCTGGAATATAATGACCCTGAGCTAGTTTCATCTTGAGGACATGAAGTAACAGAGTTCTATAGTCTTAGTCTGCCTTCCTCAAGTTGAGGGAGAACAAGAAGAGAAAGAATACCTTTCAAGCCAGCTTTAGAAAGAAAAGATTGGAACACTCTTTATTCATTACGTCTTTTTGCTTGTAGCGTGTCTCCAGCTTCACAACTGTGAGGCCTGTATGACATCTGGCCTAAATTTCAATTGTAGTTGGTGCCATGTTCTGCAGAGGTAAGTCTTCTAAACCCAAGGGGGAATCTACATTCACTTCTCAAAGAAGTTAATATTGTCTGGCTCTTGTCTTGAAATTTAACTCGTAGAATTTCTGTAGTCTACCCCAGTCACATGTAGATGGGTAACTTTTGATATCTAGACTTAATAGTCTTAAGTCTCCACATACCACTCAAGTTTTTTGATGGTATGAGTCCTCTTCCTCCAAAATATAAAAAACCTGTTTCACTGTATATAGAAGTCTATGCTGATAATTTACAAAAATAGAGAACCAAAGAAGATAGAGAATGTCTTGAAATATATAAAGTTAATAAAATATTGAACTTTAGTTCAAGAATGGAATACCTGAATTGGTGAGCCGTGGTCCCATCTGCCTTTTTTGTACCTGTTCCAGTTGCATTATAGAATTTCTTTTCTCAGCCTTTTAGGGGAGAAAAAAAATACCTGTAAAATACTCTATGGCTTACATATTTCCAAGAATATCCTCTCCAAGGCCTAATGTGTTGACATCACTCTATCTCTTTTGCATAATCACTAATTTTCTGTCTTTCCCTCCCTTCTCAGGTACCCTCAGTTATCTAAAACTTATCACTTATTATTAAATTAGAAATACAAGATAAATGGAGAATAAATCCCTAGGTTTTCATTCAGTCTGCTATCTAGGCAGGACTGGCCCTTGAGCCTCTTTTATGTGTGAGACACTGTGGTGATGCAATTTTTCTGAAACTCAGTTGCTATTTATTGGGCACATGCAACAATAAAAAAAATGATTGATTCTGTATATGCTGTGTTTAAAATGTGCACAATGTCCACAGCAAAACAAAATCTTGCAGCTAAGATAGAAGTAGGAAATGTTGCAAAAAACAAACTGCATATGTGGGCTTGGATGCTGTCCATTCCTTCACATTTGAGATTACTTTCAAAATATTACAATCATTTCTTGTCCAGAAATCCCTTTTCCACTGAAGAGCTAAGCAATGAAATCTTTGCTGCAGCTTGCCAAATGTACAACTTGCTTTCTTTAGTCCTCTTTATTATGCTGCTTTTTCAACTCCAATCACTCACAGACACGACTTATCGTCGCATCTATCCATGGAAGAAATCATTCATATTTGGAAGTTAACATATATTTGAAATATATTTTGCTTGGCAGAATGCTAGACCTCCCCAAAACTCTACAGCAGCAGAAAAAGCCAGGAGAGGTAGGGGTTTATGGGTAGGCCTATGGCAGGGCTTTTCAACCAGTGGTACGGGTACCACCTGTGGTACATTGGCACATGGCAGGTGGTACATGACCATCCAAGAAAAGTAGCGGGGGAGGGGAATGAGCTGAACCGATGGCAGCACCGCACAAGCCTGAGCGAGAGATGACTGGAGCTGCAGGGCTGTCAGGGCTCAGTGGAAGCACCAGGATCAGTGCCAGGTTCCAGCTGGAGCTTTGCGTTGATCCTGGTGCTTCTGCGGAGCCCAGAAGAAGCGCCGATCAGCTGGAATGTTGCAGCATCTCCAGGGTCTTGTGATTTACATTCAGATGCTTGGCAACTGATTCATATTTATGGTGGTCACAGTGTCCCAGGGTTATGTGAAGTGACCAAAACCTGCTGCAACCACCCAGCAGACGGGGGGAATAAAAACCAAACACCCCCCCATCCCACCCCCACTGCCGATCCTCAACAGAAATGCTCACAACAATGAAAACCTCGGACAGGAGGAAGAGCGCCGCCGGGTGGGCAGGCAGGTGTCTTGCTCGGCTGTGGCTTGGGGGGCACTTTAGCTTAGCTAAGCTTTAGCTTACTTTAGCAACAGCCACAGAAGGAGACATAGAATATCTTATTATTTCCTAGATTTCTTATGAAAAACATTCCCAGTAAAAACATCTAACAAGCATCACCATATCATTTTTGTTTTAGTGTCAGCTCTTATGCTTTCTTTTTCCATAGGTGCTCCAATGGGTTTGATCGATACCATGAAGAGTGGCTGGAATATGGTTGCGGCCAAGAAGTAAATGGTTATAGATAATGAAGATGTAAAAGATAAAATATTCAGTTCTTGCTTAATGCTTACCAACAGGCAACTTTGCATTCGCACTGTTCCCTCTGTCCAGTCTCAACTGCAGATTGAAAATGATCCACATTCATCTTTATTTCTATCAAACCAGAAAGGTTGAGAACAAGTATCAAAAATCACTTTCCTCACTCCCACTCCTCAATAAAGGAAAATAAAACAAACTGGAAAAAAAGGTTATTTGCATGAAACTTGTACCTCATCAAGAGAAGAGAGAAATTTGTCAATTTCATGTTCCATTATTTAGCTTCCTTTCTTGAGGGAGTGGGGCAAAACTATCACGTCAGTATTTCCCTTATAAGACCTAAAGTATACTGAAATTTAGAAGCTGAAAAACAGATAAAGCAAGAGTTCCCTTCAGTACAAATTCCTGCCCCCAAATAGCAGAACAATATTATTACCACCTGAATACCAGATTCAGAGAGGTTCCTGCAGCTGAGTCAGTGTTCTAAAGATAGGTGGTGGCATGGAATCATATGAGAACAATGTGAATTCCTAGACATGTAATAGCTAAGAGATTAGATCAGTTATGGAAGCTCTGTGGACCAAATGCTGTCTTTCAACCCAACCTTTTCTCAAATGACTGTGGGGAAAAACTTGGAGGAGTGAGTGCTATGTATGCCACCTTGAGTTTCTGGAGAAAAAGTAAGATTTCAATCTAACACACATATTTGCTGGGCTTGTGAAGATAAGAAGGTGGAGTTTCTGCTGACTCTTGCAGATTATGCAAGAAAATTGTAGAGAGAGGTTTAAGGGGTTCCCATGTTATTTAAACTAGGAAAAGAAAAAAGGAAAACTATTTGACTGCACAAGTCCAGTGAAGTTTGAAGAGTGGAGCAAAATTTAAGATAGTGTAGAAGCAGAAGAAGACAATGTGAAACGTTGAAGTAATAGGTAAATATATATGGTATACCAAAAGTCAGCCCCATAAACAATTTATTATTATATACATTACATTTAAATATTTGAATTAATTACCATTTTCTTCCAAACATCTTTTAATTTTTTTTTATGCATGGTTTTGAATATTCCTAAGTACAATAATATTTTCTGAGGAAAATAATAATAATAAAACATACAGGTAGTCTCTGACTTACAATCATTCATTTACAATGGCACTGAAAAATGTCACTAATGAACATTTTTCACACTTATGACTGTTGCAGCATCCCCATGATCATGTTATCAAAATTTGGACGATTGGAAACTGATTCATATTTATGACTGTTGCAGTGTGCCAGGGTCATGTGATCACCTTTTGCGACCTTCTGACAAGCAAAGTCAAGGAGGAAACCAAACAATTGTGTTACTTACTTAACCACTGCAGTGATTCACTTAACTGCAAGAAAGGTCATAAAATGGGACAAACAACTATCTCTCTTAGCAGCAGAAATGTTGGACTAAGCTGTGGTTGTGAGTCGAGGACTCCCTGCATTGTGATTACTATATCGGGTCTGACTTTTGGTACACACTGTATACACATTATATAGCCCACTCAGCTAAAAATCTAGTTGGGAGAATAAATGAAAGAATATTTATTTGGATCCATTTTACTTAATCAGCTCCGGATGTCCAGAGCATTTGACCATCTAAAGAACGCAGTATCAAAAAAAGATAGCATGCACATCTCTGGATTATATTTCTGGACAAAGATGAAAAAACAAGACAGTGTTAGAAAAGTGGCTATAATTTGTCAACCAATGACCAATCATTTCTAGGAACTAAAGACCATGTGAAAGAACCAATTGAAAAGACATAAAATGCTGAATCTACAGGGAAGTTAACATTGACATTACATAACAAAGAACAGATTGGGGGTGTGTGAATAATATATTCAGAGTAAAACAAATGATTAAAAAACATTTTATATTGTGAGTGAGGTAGGGAGGAAGAGTAAGCCTTTAGAATTGGATCGCAAAGACTCCATATCTTGTGTTTCCAGAATATTATAGATCAGCGTAAACATATGGGATCAGAAAATGGGATTTACTGGTTTAAAGTTAGTATTTAAACATATTTACCTTGCTTAGCAAAGAGAAAAATTGATATACAGTTTCTGAAGATTGATAGTATTATAATCCTTAGATTTATAATTTAAAAGATATGACCCAACAAAGGAAAAAGACATTAGGAAGAGGAGGAGAAACTGTTGTGGTTCTCAAGCCAATGGGCTTAGAGTAATTGCTATTAGTGAGAGGAATGGCTTCAGGTGAAACTAAAAAAATTCTTTTTTGCATTGTCATTTCAGTCAGAGGAGAAGACTTGTGCAGATTTTGAAGAGGATGAACACTATATGTCTTCAATTCCCAATCATAGCGCCTTTACACCACTTCCAGAAGACACCGTCACATCATCCTCCCAATTTATAGATAGCTTGACTACAGAAGGTAGGCACCATCTGGGGTTAAAACATGCCATGCCATATGATTCTTGTGTGTTTAGGCTATCAGAGACTGATGTAGTTACAAATTATACACTCAGCTCTCTTTAATTTTTTTACAGACTGTTCAGCATCATTCCAGCTCATAAAAGAAAGTTACAAGTCATATATTAGCCTCTCCGAAATTGATTTAGGATTTGCTTGGGGTTTTTTCGTCCTCATATAGCTATGAATTCTCACCTTCCAAAACTGTCTTACTTGCATCATATGCAGACACAATTTTTTCTATTTGGGAAAACTATCACCTAGGACAGGGGTAGGCAACCTTGGCTCTTTTATGACTCGTGGACTTCAACTCCCAGAATTCCTGAGCCAGCACGGCTCAGCTTGGAACCTCTCCCTTTCCCCTCAGCATGGCTGGCTCAGGAATTCTGGGAGTTGAAGTCCACGAGTCATAAAAGAGCCAAGGTTGTCTACCCCAGCCGAGGATATGTATATTTGGAAAAATTATAAAGTAAGCCTTCCTATGCAAGGAGGGGGGAAAACAATCAAGATGGCAGTCACAACCATGTGATCTAATTCCTGCTTCTTTTAATATGCATTGATTCCCCATACAAAGGAGGTAGGGTTAGATTGCATGGTTGTGGTTGCCATCTTGAGTTTTTTTATATGCACTTACCCCTGCAATGTCATTTAGGGTACTTGGCTGTGCAGTATTTCATCACAGGTCCCAACTGTACTTTCCAATTTAGCTCAGTTTCCCCCATTTTTTAAAAGTGACATTCTATTCCTCAGGATTATGTGTGCAATGTGTCTAAATTAGCACCAAATTTTGTTCTCCTCTGAGATTAGTGACAGGTACTGATTAAATTGTGCTACTTAATAGAGTCTGCTTTGTTTGCTAATTAAAATAAACCAAAAAGAACATTAATATTTGTCCTTCAGCAATGAAAGAGAGGACAAAGCCTTTTGAGACAGAATTGGCTTAAAAAAATGAGGAAAAACTATACATTTCTTGGTTCATTTTTTAAAATGTGGCAAGGAAGAAAAAATGTTTGATTTATGTGTCCATACAAATTTTATGCATAATGCATATCCATACACACACATATCTACACAAAACCTATATTTTATCAGTAAAAAGACTTATGTATGCATACTCTATGTATATGTATGTATGTGCAAATGTGTTCAGAAAGCTGTGCCAAGTCTTCATTCATAAAAGAAACAAATTGTGGAATTTGAAAGACCTCAATGATTCATGTGAAGCCAGAGATCAGGCTGGGGAGATATTATGAGAGCTGCAGTCCAATACATTATTGATGATGCTAGTTGGGCATGATGGGAACTGTAGTGCAATAGATTGAAAAGAGTGCACTGGTGAAAAGCTTTGTGCATCATTATCGTCATCATCATCATCATCATCATCATCATCATCATCATCATCATCATCATCATCATCATCATCATCATTATTCCACAAATCTTGAATAAGAATTGAAACCAGATTACTACCAAAGCAACACTAAGCTTAGTTTGGTTCAACTTCATTTTGGTTCAACTGTTATGGGCAACTCCTTCTGCATTTATCTATTGTATAAAAAAATACCCGGCTGCCATTTAACAGTAAGCAATGTATAAAAAACAAATTCATGTTTTTGTTTCCTTTCAAAAACAAATAGATAAATATACTGATTTGATGTAGTAGTTAAGGTGCTGGCCTAGAAACCAGGAGCCTGTGAACTCTAGTTTCTCCTTAGGCATGAAAGCTGGCTGGGTGACTTTGGGCTAGTCACTCTCTCAAGGAGAGTAGAAATTATCAGCATGTTTACCATCTTGTCTTATATATAAAAAGACAAGATAAAAATTAAAAAATAATGGGAAATGTCATAAAACACAACAGGAGTAATTGCAACCCATATGGGTCCCTTAAATGCTGTAGAGCAACAAATAATTCCAGCTATTTTTCCAGCTGTTGGGGGGGGATGGTTGGCATGAAAAAGATAACTAAGAGGAAGAAGGTAGTATGTAAGTTTCCTGTTCCTTTCAATAGTCTTGTTCAGAATCTCAAATGTCCTACAACAGGGTAACACCAATGGCCAGTCCATTCTTCCTGAAAATTTGGGGTTTGAGTCATATGGAGGTTTCCTATTGTATCTTCCACTGTGCAGTATTTAAAGCATTGAGTAATTCAGTAGCAATTTAGTGACTTAGCTACACCACCTTAAAAGGAACACAAGCCTCTGCTAATTAAGCAGACAATTTAAATAATAATGCTTTTGGATTTTCTTCTGGAAGGATTGTTAGCAGATTGCATACAAGGATTTAAAATGTCAAGACAAGTTTGTTATGTTAGTTCATTTGTACTTTTTTGTTTTTGTTTTATTCTTATAGATGACACAAAGTTGAACCAGAACCCAGGAGAAGGTAAGTGCTTTCTTATGACCAAAGTTTGTGAAAATATATCTCACTAGGACAGATTTTTGAATCTGATACTCTCCAGACAGATTATTTAGAGCTACCAAGATCTCCAGCCAAAATAATTATTGGAGGCATAGTCCAACACATCTGGAGATTACCTGGTTGAAGAAAAATGCCTTAGGAGTTTGACATAACACACACTGCTCTCAAATACTGCAACCATTTTTTGTAACCATACTACAAAAAAGATGTTGAGACTTTGGAAAAAATTCAAAGAAGAGCAACTAAGATGATCAAAAGCCTGGAGACTAAAATATATGAAGAACGGCTGCAGGAATTGGGTTTGACTAGTTTAAAGAAAAGTAGAAATAGGGGTGACATGATGGCAGTATTCCAGTATTTGAGAGGCTGCCAGAAAGAAGAGGGGGTCAAATTATTCTTCAAAGCACCAGGAGGCATGACAAGAAACAATGATTGGAAACTGATCAAAGAGAGAAGCAACTTGGAATTAAGGAGAAACTTCCCAACAGTGAGAACAATTAACCAGTGGAACAGCTTGCCTTCAGAAATCATGGGTGCTCCAACACTGGAGATTTTTAAGAAGAGACTTGACAGCCACTTGTCTGAAATGGTATAAGTTCTCCTATTTGAGCAAGAGCTCGACTAGAATACCTCTATGGTCCCTTCTAGCTCTATTCTATTCTAGTTAATAAAAGAGAAGGCATCCATGATGCTGTCATGAAGGAGGGAAGTAACCTCGAGACATTTTGTTAATCTGTGGCAGGAGGAGCTGATGCTCCCCTTTCCCTGCTCAAATCAAAATACATTGTATCCTAAACTAATTGAATTGCTTCCTGTCTATTGAAGTTTTTAAAAAGACAAGCAATCACAGATTGTATAAGTAATATTTTTCTATTCTTTTATGGCATCAATATCACCAAACAAGAGACAGTCATCTCACTCTACCGAAAACAGACCCTTTCCCTGATTGACACATGTTGTTGAGTTGATGGTTTTGTTTTATCTGATAATTTTCAGTGATCGGATGGTGGCAGCAGCTAGGAGCAGTTAACAGATGACAGAAACTTTCTTTTAGAAAGGATTTGGCAGCTGTCTTTCAAGACCTTGGCAACCTTCTCTTTAGATTATTATAATATAATGTTAACCTTTCCCAACACTCTGAAAGTTGCACTTTGTCCTTTTTATTTTACCATTGGTTAATGTTCCAAATAGCACCATATGGTCCACACTTCTGCTGTGGTTTTTGCTTCTACTAGATTATAGTTTTATCACCACAATTTCTGTTGCCTTGCTGCAGCTTATTTAGACTATGTCATTTGTCCTGTTAGCTTCTTGGGTTTTAATGCTATTGTTTTAAAGGCTGGGAAAGAATATCATGTTATTTTGGTAGCAGATTTTAATATTTTTGCCAGTTATTGTACCTATTGCCTCCTTTTCCTACTTTCTTTTCCTTTTCTGTTCTATTTCTGAATTTATTCCATGAAAGAATGGATGTGTAGCTACAGAAACATACCTACATTTAAAATAGAGTTTGCAAATTTGCTATATGAGAAAATATTTCCCATAACAACTTGTTTGTCTTGCATTGCTACTGCAAATGCAATTTTCCGCATGTACAACTTATTCAGAGCAGTAATTATATACCTCAAATTTCATTGCTAAGTTGTATTAGCTGAATATATGCAAAAGCTCTATTAATATGCTCTACTAGAATGTTGTTTATTAGATTCACCTTTCCTCCAGGAACTTAAACTCAAATTCCCCCTGCCTGCCCAACAAGATTCATTTGGCTAAGAGATAGTGATGTCCTACAGATAGTCAATCAGCTTACATTTCTAAGGGTGTACCTAAACCTGAATCTCCCAGTTTTTAATGCATGGAATTTGTACCTCATTAAGAGAAGAGAGAAATTTATCAATTTCATGCTTAATGACAGCATGACTAAGATAGCAATTCAGTAAGACATCCCACTTACCCAAGATCCAGAGCTGAATTCCACATATTATGGAGCTATATCTTCATAGAATGGCAACAATATCCCAACCACACCATTTTTAATCCCTGGCATTCTCTCCAGTTAGTAGTGGAAAAAAATCTTGCCTAAAACTATAGGAAACTATTGTCAGTCAGTGGCTGGGCTCATACATCATGCTAACCATAATGTGTTTGCTTTGTCTTCCTTTGCACAATGCAGAAACTAAACCAAGGACATATTAATTTATTGATTTCCAGGATTAATATCCTCTACTAACAGATTCTAGGATTAAAACACTAAATACAAAAAAAGAAAACATAAATCAGAGTAGATAAAGAAGGAGGCCCATGAACAATATCAATATCTCATTCAAACAGAATAGCTTTAACTTGTTTATGAAAAATAAGCAGCATTAGAGCCCGCTATACCTCATGGGAGGGAAGAGGAGAAGATATTCCAAAGGGTGGGGGCCACTATTGGAAGGTGAATTATGAAGTCTCACTCTGTCTCTTTTCCCATTCCTTATAATAATCTTCCCAGAAGGTTTGAGAGATCATGTTCCTACAAAAAAGGGGGGAACCCAAATCCATACAGGAACAATTGTTGGAATCCTCCTTGCAGTTCTTCTGATTGCTGCTATTATTCTTGCTGGCATCTACATCACCAGTAATCCTACTTCAAGTGCTGCTTTGTTCTTCATTGAGGTGAGCTTAAGAAAAGTCTCTTGTTTATATTTTGTCTTGTTAAAAAGCTGGACTTATTAAGATTTAGAAATAGAGCAGAAAAAAAAAGAAAGACTATACATTCCACAGGATATATGCAATTTATTAGCACCCCTTTGGTGTTCCCCAGAATCCCTCCAGAGCAGACAGGATAAAAACAAACTTCTTTTTTTTTTCATTTTACAAAGTTGGGGAATTTTAAAGAGAAAATGAATGTCCAGTATTTTAATGGCTTTATCACTTAAACTGGCCCCCAAGAGGCTCTGCTTTGTATCCTGTCCCATCCCCTTCAATTTGCTGCAAAAGCACACTATGACTTGTAGTTTGGATCACTGGGTGCAGGTATATGGTGTACAAATTTAACAGCACAAAGTTACTCTAAATTAAAACAGGATTTGTTTTAACCCTTCCTTCTACCTCTCTTAGAGGTGTATGGAGAAATATTAAAGAAGGGGGGAAAATGACAGCACTTTGTGATTCTTTCAAAAGTTAAAGAAGGAAAAAAGAATCTGGAAAAAAATTTTTGGAAGGAAGCAAAACTAGAAAATAAAATGGCCAAGGGTATGTCAGTAACTGCAGAAAGCGTTTTATCCAAACTCTCCTCAAACCTAATAGCACCCCTGATTAAGATTTTGTGTTGTACAATGGCTGGAAGAGTATTCAATGAGGATGCAGGGAAAGTGCAGCTTCAGATGAAGTTTTCTAGGGGATGTTAGCCTGGTCTACCACATAGTGTTGTAATAAAGATAACTTTGGAGAAGAAATACTTTCTAACATTTTTTAGAAGAGTAGTACAGCATTTGACATTGGAGTGTGAGAACTGCAAGTAGTAAGCCATGATAAAAAGCAGGCAGATAGAAGTTTGTGTGTATTCATGATCTATTTTTTTAAAAAAAAAAAACTTCCTCTTCTCAAACTGAAACTTTTCTCTTTTTTTTTTTTTTTGCACTACAGCGAAGACCACATCAGTGGCCTACCATGAAGTTCAGAAACCGCTCACCTTACACTGAAGTAGAACCATCTGGTCAGGAAAAGGACAGTTTTGTTGAAGCAGATCAGTGCTAAAGAGTATACCTCCTTTATTGCTCCTATACCTTTAAAACATCAAGTATCTCCCATCTACTGTTTTATTTTGTGATGGACACAGTTGAAGAGGGGAGGGAAAAACAAACAAAATTAACAAGAAGCCCCAAGAGAGGATTGGAATGGGATGAGCGGCAAATTAATTTCATAATAAATAAATAAATAAATAAATAAAATCAAAATAAATCAAGCCTAAAAAGATTAAAAAGAGAGGCACGCGTAGCATAGGGTTGCTGGATAAATCATCAAGAAAAATTATGACTTCATTGCAGAAGTAATAGTACCTGACTATCTTGCATGAATATTGTCAGTTATAGCCATCCATAGATATTATGGACTATAAGAAACATCCTCTGCCCAACCCAGCTTTTGTAGGCATTCTAACCATAAATGTACAGTGCCAAAATACAGATTAGGAAAGAGGGAACTATAACCTTCTAGCTAAGATTGAAGATTTCCTGCTAAATTTTCCTTGAAAGATAGGAAGGGTTTTTTAATTAGAGAATCTTGGAACAGCTGGTCTGACTTGACTCTCAACACCTCAACCATGTCACCAAAGTTATTGATTGAAGCATCTCAGTTTGGGCTGGGCCTAAAATGCAGCCTTCATATTTATATGCAGTGGTGGCATACAATTAGCCAAAAAGGGAGGGGGGAGGGTTAATTAGAGGTGTTTCCATTGACAGTAATTTTTTCTACCTGATATTGAATTAGTCAGAAGACAAAATACATATCAACTCTGTACCAAGCAAACTCATATGACTTCTGCTATGAATTGTTCTATGATTTAGTTATTTTTTGTATTCTTTTTAAAGACTTAAAAGACAAATATGATCATTGATTTCTGTAGCAGAACAAAGTGGGGAATTTTCTCAACAGGATGCAGTCCTGTTTATTTTCATGAAGGAAATACTAAATTTGCAACATTTATGACTAGAACTTTTTTTTATAACTCCATTTCTTCATTTTTCTTCTAATTCAATTTCTGCTTCAATTAACAATGATACTGAAGATAGGAATCAGGACTGCAAGTATGATAATTTCCAGGCTCATTTTAAATTGTGGATATTTAATTTTTTAAAAGTTTTGGAAATTGTGTGATTCTTTAGATTTTGCTCAATTTCCCTATTTTCCCTTATATAAGAGAGTAACTGCATCTCTAAAAGGATAGAACAGATCTTAGTGCTACAACTATTTTTCACTTAAACAATTTGTTGTTCCATGAACAATGCATTCCAAAAAAACCACTACAACCAGATGGGAATCAGACTCAGAACGTGAATCAGATTGACTCCGCTGCACCAAAGGCACTGACGCTGGTGGCTTAGCATTGGACAAATAGTGGTTTCTTCCTGTAACATTCCCAAGGTTTTGCCAAGAATGGAATCCCATTTACAAGTAATGAATATTATTATACAAACAGCACTATTTTGCCTTGCACTGGTTTTTTTATACAGTCATTGGCAGGAATGTCCTGTCAGAACTGGGGTAAAAAGACTTACCACAGTATAGTACAATAAGCAGGCCAGTAGCTTGTCAACACCATAAACACACAAATTTCCCAAATTTCATTCTTTTTATACAGATGCAAAAAAAAAATCTTGCTTTGTTTTCCTTGCTGGCTGGCAAAGGAACACTGATTGGTTGAGAATTTTTAATCCATCTATTGGTACAGAAAGGCTTCTGATTTTTCTCCCTGATTTGCAAAAATAGTCTATTCTATTTTGGTATTTTCCAATAGTCAGATCTGTTCCACTAAATACTGTTTTGTTTTAATTTTAAAATAAGATTTAGGAGATAGAACATACATTGGCTATCAAGCCAGGTCTTTTCTCCATCTACCCCATGTCAGCTTCTGATGCTCCCACCAACATATTAATACAGATTGCAACCAGAATTAGGGAACATCAATATGAAACACTGTGTAGCTACATTACAGTAATACACGTTAGTAGACCACAACCCACATCTCCTCCCTTTATTCCAGGTAATATTTTATATGGGTATAACTTTCATCACATTTTGAATTTCCCATTTATGCTTTGTCTATTGGCTGCTATGTGCAGGGGAAAGAGAAAAGGCAGGGACAGCAATTAAGCATATAATGGACAGCTAATCCATTACATGTTAATTTAATTAAAGACTACCAGAAACTTAGCCAGAGTTATTTGTTGTGCATGTCATATCTTAAAGATAACTTAATGTACTTTATCCCCAGATATATTAAATACTCTATACTATCCATATTGCCTGGAGAGATTGCATATACTGAAAATAAATGTGTACAATAGTCATGCTCCCTTAGCTGAAGGTGGGACAAGAGAGGACATCATCTCTAATTTTACATCAGGAATGCATCCTACATCAGCCCCTTTGCACACTGCTCCCTGTCTCTGAGGTTAGACTGAGCGTTTCTCAGTCTAGGACAGTGATGGCAAACCTTTTAGAGACCGAGTGCCCAAAAACCGCCCCGCCCCCCGAGACCCGTCCTGCCCCGCCCACTCCACCCCCGCCCCCACCCTGCCCCACCTGCCGGGCCACCCACCGCCTACACGCCACGCCGCAGATCACTCAGTGACCCTGCAGTGCCATGATGGACACGCCCTCCATCCGCGCCCCACAGCATCATCTGCGCGCGACAGGGCGCGAGGGCGGAGTCTTGTCCCTGCTGCCCAGCTGCCATGTGCTTGGCTGTGCTGCTCCATGCCCGGGGGATGACTCTCCGGGGGGGCTGCTGATGAGGGGGCCGTGGGGGGAGGCAGGGCTGGGGCGACAGCGCATGTGCCCACAGAGAGGGCTCTGAGTGCCACCTCTGGCATGTGTGCCATAGGTTCGCCACCACTGGTCTAGGAGTTTCCTCAAGAGCAAACTTTAGTTGTAAATGAATGCACAGCGATGTAAAATTGAAGGAAGTGCTACAATGAAATTGGAGCTATTACCAGTATTTTATATATCTTTGCTGAACATTTTTAAAAAGAAAAGATCAAAGAAAAGTAGCAACAATAAAAACCAAATCACATCTTGGAAAATATTTATAAAGAATTCATTATTAAATATAATCACAACTGTTATAGTGCTTCTGCAAAGAGTTATATTAGGAAGAGGTAACACAGGCCTAAATAATTGCACACAATTGTTTTTGAAAAGATGTCTCACAATCAAAATAATGCAATTAAAAACAAAAAAAACATTTTTCTTTAACCCTGTTCCATACTGGTTTACATGGATATTTCATAAACTTATTTGAGGGGCAACGTCCTGTTTCCAAGTTCAAAATGTAAAATCAAGTACATTGTTTCTTTGCTAAAACATCACACTAACTCAGTTTGTTTAACCACAGTTCATTAAATAAATCAAAAAATGCTAAGCCATAAACCACAATCTACAAATTATAGTTTGGATTCATAGTGTACAAAATCAAAAATACGCATTTTGATTTAGTGCAACATGTGAATGTATGCGTCATAATATTGACCAAAGAGTCTGTACTTACTCTGGGATTGATTTCACACATCATGGTAAAAGTTGGGTTTTGCTTAGCATGTTGTGTGAACTCAGCCATAGCAATCTACAGATCATAATATTTTTAAGTTTAGTATGTTATACAAACCCAGCTAGTTGCAGTTTAGTTACATCATGGGTTAGCATAATGTGTAAGGCCAGACCATGCATCTCTTGGAACATATAGGTAGCTAGAGATCGTGTTCATGGAAATTGCCAAATTTAGATGTGTTGAGCATATCTGATCTATAAGGAATCCTTGTAGCAATTTCCTATGTATATAAAAATCCTTTCAGTTATTATTTATCTCATAGAAATGCAAGATCTAATTTCTTTCTACGTACTTGAATTTATAGTATATTTCTGTTTTGGGAAAGATGAAGTAGGAAAGCTTCAGGCAAAGCATTTAGTATGGATTGTTTGCATGGAATGCAATGTTGATACTAATACATAATATTAAGTACTAAAATACTTTTCAGATTGCTTCAAGTTTCAGAATAAAAAACCAAAATTGTGACTGATCTTCGGATGGATTTGTGTTAAATCTATAAGATTGCATAGGCATTCTGTCATTCATTATATCTGTGAATAATTTCCAATGCGATTAAACTAAAACCTACACTTCAGCCACTGTTTTGCATACTTTTTATTATCAGGGAAACCATACTTTGATTTATCTGTATTTTCATAAATATTTCTTTCAGGCCAATAGTGAACTGTCACCTAGATTTCCTTATGAAAGGTTCTTGCTTGGGGAAAAAGGAACTTATCTTTGTTAAATGGAAGAAAAGGAAGGTTTTAGAGTAACAAGCATACGATAGGGATTCATGTAGAAAACAATAGTATAGTGTATGCTATCTTGCTTAGCATGCTCCAAGCTATGTAGAAATTCTTTTAGGAGAAAAATGACTTAAAAGGATCAATACAAGGCCAATTATCCCAACAAGTTACTATCCTCACAATCTGCCACACCCAGTTTTCAGCAAGTATTCCCTGGAGTTTTACCTGAGGAGTTCACTAAAGTCTTGTCTGCCCATTTTTGTGATACATATACACCAATAATAAATGCACATATTAAAGCATACCAATAATGACAAACATACAGATGAATACCCAGTTTTTTACACCATCCCCCCCCCATTCCACTAACCTAATATAGTATGAATCCTAGTATGAATTCAGTCAGTTATATGGCTGTTCAATGGCAGCAATCTCATAGCTGAAATGTTGGTTGGTCTTGACATATGGTATAATTAGCAGGAAGAGGTGCAGTAGAAAGTCAGACAGGCCGTTTAGTTGGTGAAGGCTAACTAACCAACCAATTTCTCCTGATAGGTTCCTGTTGAAGTCTATTGAATCAAAAGACAATCATTAGCCATTATTGTTGGGTAACCAGGGTTCTATTAACACTCAACATACATCTATTCCTAGTGATGTCATTAGGTATTTTTCAGGTGTGTTTCTGTAGCTCTGTTTTTTGCATCAGCAAGAAAGCAGGTACTTGTTTCCACACATGAGGTGTACAAACCTTTTTTGGGGAAAGGTTCTCTTGTTAGGCATAGACTGGGTGAGGGTCAACAAATCACTGACTGAAGTTCAGGATGGCTTGATTTCAAACTGACTTCTACTCCTTTGATGACTCATGGTCAGCAGGGTACAGATTAGCTGTTAAAGAGACTTTACAAATGAAAAGTGCTGTAACTGGTTTGGATTGTTTACAACCTCAGAATCTAATATGTCACCTGACTTGGGTCTTGGTCTTTTGCCACAGGGTCCAAGAAAATTTCATGTGGAGGGAATGTGTACCATAGCTTACTAGAACCTAAAGTGTTTGTCTTCCTTTTCCATAATTCTACATATAATACCTGTAAATTGTTCAATTCCAAAGTCTAAACAGATTACCAAAAGGTGAATTTACAATGCAAGAGATGGAAACCGGTCTCCATAAATTGGTTTAATAGTTTAAATTGTTTGATTAAAACTAGCCACAGTTGGTTTTTGAGCCTTATTAGGCTTAATTACATTATGCAACGTAAGATGACGCTATTGGGCTGGGGTTTTTTTTTCTACCCTAGAGCATATATAACAGGAGAATTAGCAAACTGTAGCAACACATAGGAACTCCTGCTTGAA